GTTGCCTTGGACCTACTCATTTCCATTACAAAAGGCACGGAGGGAGGGTTCATCCTGTTAGCTTGCACCCCAGCTCTGGTCATGAAAACATCACTCAGGGAAGTATGTCAAACGTGTACCGACTGCTCCTGGGGCTCCCCCGGTTTCCAATCCCTGGATGCCCAGCTGCACAGTGGCTCACAGCTCTCCCCCTTCGGGTCAGGAGTACGCTGCAGTGACCGTGACCTCCAGCATTGTCCCGTCACCCGGGTGAAGGAAGCAGTGCTTCATCCCTGTTGTCCCCAAAGAGCTCTCGGAGGAGAGGCTAGTGTTTCCCGGGTAGCAGCACTAGCCCCAGGTGTGTTTCTGCAGCTTTCTGAAAGCATTGATAATGTGTGACACACCTAACCCAAGTCTCCCTTAGCTCTTACAGCATGCGTACATGTAACCAAAATGAACCTCTGGCTGTTAGCCAGAGACAACTGTTGGCAGTGATAAAACAGTGGTAGAGAATAGTTTTAGACTGTAAAACACACAAAATGAAACATCAGACTGAATTCTTACTAAAATTTTGATGCTGTTGAGCACTGGGGTCAGCTGCTGCTTCACGAGTGTTTTCCACTGGCTTAAGATTACATCCTGCATCTGAGTTGAGGCCCTGACTTAGCAAAGCATTTGTGCATATGCTTAAATCTGCCCTTATTCAGCTAAGCACTGATGCGAATACCTAAGTGCCTTGTGATACAGGGACAAACCTGAACTGGAGCCTATAAATGTAGGTTATGTAGCTGTCACAACTACCCTTTTAATGTTTTTTCCTGGTAGCACAGCTGCTCTCCTGGATTAACTATTTAATTAATCTTCATCTAAAAGGTCCTGAGAACAGTTCTGTAATACTAACAAATGTACATAAATACCAGAACTAAAAAAAGTCAAACGCATGGCTCAAAGCAAAACAAATATTGCTCAGAATACTTGTTTAGATTAAGATTAATAGCTGTAAACTGTGCCTTCTAGTAGCAAATAAAAACCTGTTGGCCTAGGGAAAAAACCAAAACATTCGAAGTCTATAGGATTGGCAGCACTAATATTACTTTACAATGTGGAGTAAGGATAGCAAGTACCAGTGTAACATTGCGGAATGATCCAGCTAACCTAAGCTTATGTAAACAAGTAGGCTTTGACAATGTTTATACGTCTAGGCGTGATCCTGCACTTGGACCTGGACAGGTGGAGACCCAAGAAGGTAGAAGGGTGCTGCTCCAATGTGGTTCCAGCTGCCCACATCCCGCTGCAGGAGAGAGGCTCAAGGGTGTGATCCTGCAAACCTGTACTGGCGTTACTACCTCTACACCTGGGAGCATCCCATTGCAGGATTCCTTTCGGCAGGACTATACACATACAAGTAAGGATTATTCACAAACATAAGGCATTGCAGAACTTGGCCCTAAAATTTCTATTTTTAGCAGAGAATCCCTTATCCATACACAAGATCATTTTTTAACGTATCAAAAAGTGTCTAAAATAAGGGTCAGAGTCACTACATGTTATGCTCAGTAACACAGTTAAGATTCTGCATGTTGGCTTCAGATATTGCAAAACATTTTTTTCATTAAAATCAAACCAACTATGAATCTTTCTCAGAAAAATTAAATTAACCACAAAAGTTAAAAATGAACAGGCTGTGTTTTCAAGGTTAAAAGGAGACATTAACAGAAATGAGCAACTCCCATCGTAATGGTTTTCCAGTGCCTTCCCTTCTGACCAGTGAGCACTCTGAGATTGCAGTTGTTGGTGGCCTCCAATCTTGCCTTGCATCCTCCACGGCGTGGCTACTGCCGCTCTCCTTCCACCCGCTTTTTACGAACTAGACCAATAAAACAAGAAAAGAGCAGTCATAATTGCTTTCCTGAGAGCCCAAGGACTTTTCTGACTGACACACTCCCTTCCCAGGAACATGAATAGGGAGGAAGGAGCTTCTAAGAAATACCCGGCAGGATGATGTCCATAAATGCTGTAATTAACAGATCTTAATGCTAAACAAAACAATTGTATCTAAACTGCACTTTTCTATATCACAGACTAGAATTTCACCAAGTGTTCATATCAATACATTTTCTATAAAAATCAGACTTTGAGCTGAAGGTTTTAGATGATGAAGAAATCACCATTTCCAGTGCTTCCTCCCAATGGCTCCATTTAGATTTTTGTTACAGTTTTATTGTTCTTTTAAAAGTCACTGTGTTCCAGCTAAGTTGGTACTGGTCTGCTCTAGTCTGCATGGCATTATTTAAGCATTAGGCATCAAAAATTAATAACTTCTGTAATTGCACAAGTGTATACTATAGGTAAGCAATAATCATATCCTTTTAGAAAATAATTTTAAGTACTCTTCAGTACTGATATCAGTGAGTACTGGCAACAAGGGAAACATCATATTGGACCTTAAATTATCTGTTTAAACTTCACATGCTCTGATTGCATCAACCATCTGATAGTAAGTTAATTAAGTCTGGATTCTCACTAGAAACCAAGTAGGTTGAAGATGCCATTTAGCAAAGCAGAGAGTGATGAGCTTTGTGTTATGGGCAGGATTATTTTGACAAGCAGCCCCATGTGAATTTTTACAGCACTTACTGAGGATACATTACAGCTGGTATAGAGCAGGTCTAGTTGGGCAGCATTTGCTACTCCATACCCTAATAAAAACGTATTGAGTTTTCTCTGACTTTGCCAGATAAGATTAGTGAGGTTCTCCTGTTCATGTGATACAAAATTTGGTGTTACATCAAACTGTCGTGTCCTGCTTCTGATATTGAACTGCTGACGTACAGAACAATAGCAGTAAAACTGGATGAATGAACGCTTTTCACTACAGAAAGTCAATAACAACAATATATTACTACAAACATCCCATCACTTTACTATCAGGAGGTTTATTTCATAGTGCTTTCCTGGCAAATAGACTGCATTATTCCAAAGCCTACAGTGTAACATCAGTCATTTGTGTCTGCTTTCAGTGTTTTGTTGCTTCATTTATTTTATTGAGTTCTTTTAGCTGTTCTGTCCTACTAAATCTTGAACAAAACTATACAATAAAAAAGCAGGAAAAACAAGATTAGGTACAGGACATATGTCTAATGGCAACTGGTTAAATAGTGGGAAAAAAGGTCTTTCTCTCTTTGTTGGTGGGATGTTTCAGATACCATTCCAGGACACTAACAGTTTCAGGACCAATAGTATCATATTGGAATGCTTAGGTACTGCTAAAAATTAAAACTGCAAAAAAATAAAAGTATGTGTGAAAGAAATAGGTTCTAGCTCAACTTTTATCTTAGTTCTCACTGAGAGAAACCCAAGCTGAAGCCAGCAAAGGCATCATGGTTTGACACGCCACTTTGAAGTAGAATTGATTAAAAACACATAGTTAATCTTCCCTGCCCCCCCCCCCCCCTACTCGAAACAACTCCCTAGCCATCTCCTTCTTATTCCGTGTGTTGAGCACACAGGGTAGAGCATATCACACAGGTAAAACTTGCAAAGCTTTGTTGTCTTTGCCTGTACTTGGTCACGCAGGCAGGAAAGTCTTTTTTGTTCCCTCGGTTGGGCAGGCTTGGTCTGTCATGGGCAGGGCAAAGAAGTGAGGACTTCTGTGTTCACTGAACAAACAGGATGGGTTTGGCTCTTCTTACTGGCCAGAACAGCTGACAGGGCAGCTGGAAATCCAGGGTGGTCCACAGAAAAGGCTGAAGTAACTCCCCTTCCCAGAAGGAGTGGGAGAAGGAGAAGAATAGTGGCTTGATAGGACAAGAGGAAACGGCCTCAAGTTGCGCCAGGGGAGGTTTAGGTTGGACGTGAGGAAAAATTTCTTTACTGAAGGAGTGGTTAAACATTGGAACAGGCTGCCCAGGGAAGTGGTTGAGTCACCATCCCTGGAAGTATTTAAAAGACGGGTAGATGAGGTGCTTAGGGACATGGTTTAGTGGGCATGGGGGTGTTGGGTTGACGGTTGGATTCGATGATCTTAGAGGTCTTTTCCAACCTTAATGATTCTGTGATTCTAATCACAGTAAGATCTTTGCTGTTGTCTACTCTAGAGTCATGGAGCTGTGCAGCACCCCTCACATACAGCAGATTGAATGTTGTAGAGTTAAAATTCAATCTCATGTACAGACAGGAAGAGTTGTGTCTAGGAAGGTCAGGGCTTGGCTCACATAAACAAATGATGAGTAGATGTAGTAGCATCTTACCCAGATCGTTGTTTTTAGTGATAGCTGCTGCTACCCTGGTTCTTGGACCTTGCTTTGTGAACTGGTATCCAAACTTGAGAATCTTGGAGTTCTCCTCTAGCATCTTGGCAATCTCCATCTCTACAGCTGTCCCCAGCTGCTGCCTCTGTTGGTGATGTGGTGAAATGTCCCCAGAAGAAAATATTTGTTTTCATATGAGAGAGAAATAAGTGGTTACATTTTAGTACTGTGCTGCAAACTACAAAGAGAACCCCGTCCCTGGAGATTTTGCTCTGGGTTTTATATTTGGCTTTGACCAGTTTTATTTAGAAGTTTTCCACTGTTTGGTTGCATGCGCCTGGGACATGAGCTGCAGAATGACTGAGCCACAGAGGCTGCCTTGACTTTGCCAGAGCCCTCTATGAGAACCCTTGGGAATCCGTATAGAAGGGAAACAAAAGTGGACTCACTCAGTGCTCTCTCTTTACCTGGTTGTCAATTTTAATCTCTGTCAGGGATTCATTCTCTTTCAGTGCATCAATCAGTGCCAAAATACCCGTCCCAGTGATGAAGTTGGATTCTACATTCAGACTCTTCAGTGTTTTGTTCACTTTCAGCATATCTGCAAATGCCTGAGGGGTCAAAAAAAGGGAATATGAGATAATGTCTTGAGAGTTTCAGGGAATAACAGGGAATCTGCAAAACATACCTTAGTACCTACACAGAAATAAAACGTAAATAGGCTTAGAATAACATGGAGGTGGATCAGAAGAGATTACACTTCTACTTTGCATAGTCACAGGGAAATTCTGTGAGGGAGAATGAAGAATGCATCCTAAAGCAGACACAGACCTACTTAAAAATTGTTGTGTTTTTTTTCCAAGCAGTGTTTAAACTTACAATAGCTACAGGGTCATTGCTTCGAGTAGCTGCAAGGCTGAATGTCTTCACATGCGTGTTGCTTTCCAAAGCTTTTGCAAATTCTTTCAGTGTTGGAATAGGAATATTCTACATTAAGAAGATAAATCCAGTCATTAGGAAAGCCAGTCACATCACCAGACACTGATTTTAATTATTATCCAACTGATTAATAGCCACCGTCTATGCAATTTAAATATCCCCGATGCTTTTAAGAGTATCTCAGAATGGAGAAAGCGTCCTCTGCTTATAGTGGCCTTCAGAGACGCGTGGAGGCCTGCGCTAGGATGCGATGTCAGCACTGCCTTTAATTGGGTCAGGCCAACGCAAGCACATGGCCGATCTCTGAGCTAGTTTCCTATTTTGCTGCTGGCTGTTCCGTCTCCGCATGCCAGCTCCTCCTCCAATTGCATGTGTGGGCTAATTGAATTTGGTCGGTGATGATTATATAGTGCCCATGAGATATCTTGCTTTACAATCTGCTAAAGAAAGGCAGCCAGAGGGCGTGTCCCCTTGGGCTTTTAATTGGCATCTGATTCACTATCAGGCATTGATGACCTTGGAGCCTCTACAACAGTTCCCTCCACACCCCTTTCCTGTGTGTCCTGCTTTTCCTGAACAGTAGAGAGAGACAAAATTTGAAGATAAAAGGCAAGGGCTTTGGAAATATTTGAATAAACCCTCCTATGATGACATAAATGAAACTACAGCATCTACCTTTATGTTGTTGAGATTAATTTCTATGAGACTAGGGTCATTTGCTTTTATCCTTTGTAAACTTGCTTCCACATTGGTCGGATTAGGTGGCTCCTCGAAGATGGGCTTGACCTTTTCACCTTTCACCACATCTGCAACACAAGATCTCATGAAACATTGATGTGAGGAACAGGCATCATCAGAACAGTCTGGCTTTTCAATTCCCATTTAGGTTTGTACTGTAGCATTCAAGAAAGGGTTTATATGAACCACAAAACTTGGAAATAGGAGAATTAGCCCCGTTATCCCTGCCATGCCCTTTGCACCTTCTGTGCATCCAGAAGCATGTCACTGGAGGCTGCGGTCACAGCGGCTGGGCAGTGTCCTCACAGGCAAATTCCTCCTTTCTGTACAGAAGTCCCAGTACAATTAATTTGAGCCAAAGCAGCTTTAAAGACTTGTATAGGATGCAATATGCTGCAAAGGCTGCTTCGTTCTTTGTCTAACACCCGTAAAGGAAGGTGTGTTCGGAACTTGCCCATCACGTTAGTGAGAAAATGTCCCTGCACCTATGTATAGACTTTGCGAACATAAATGAACATGATCAGGAGGCCCCTCAGTTTCCGTCCCTAGGCTGATGCTATCAGCCTTACTATAAATTCAATTAGCTCTTGCAAAATTGCAACATCTGCACTTTCTAAATAATAAAGCTATCAAAGCATGAAAAGCAAGTCCGTCTGCCAGCACCAAGATTTATGAAGTCTTTGAGTATTCATGCTCCACAGAGACACAGTTTTTAATGTTGGCAGCTATGAGCTATAAATATTCTTAGAGATGCATAAAAATCATAGCTTAGAACACAGTTAGTATTTCTAATTCCCACGCATACAGTTGTGGAGATTAATTTATAAGCCCTGACCACCCAAGCCACTAGAGACAAGAAAGGAATATGTTACTGACCACAAGTATGTTTAAACCCTTTTATTTTATGTTGCAGACAGCGAGTTACTTCGAAGACCTGTGCTCAAGTCTCAATGTACCACGCATTTCTGGTCAGTGCAATGGGTAAAGTACATGCCATATCATGAGCCAAAAGAAAAATATTTTTTAGAACTCATACTCTTAGTAGAGATGAAGTCATACACAAACCTTGAGCTGGTTTTCACTCTGCTCCCTTTCACCCTGAACTTTTTTTTTTCCCACTATTTCCCTGACTGACCTCACATATGCCTGAGTAACACTCCGGCCTTCCTAGGGAGCAGGAAATGGAAAACTACTGGTAAAACGCATATAGAGAATTCACCCTATCGATCTGGAAGGCAAGGATGGAAAGTAAACAAAAAACAGCAAAGCATTTTTTTTGCACTTGTGGCAACACCCTGCCAAGCTGGGAGCTGGGGAGAGACTTGCACCCTGTCCTCAGGTTAGACATCACAGTATACTCAGTCTAGAGTTAGCCGTATTTTTCACTTTCTACTTCTTGTTGCTTCCCACGAGTTTTATCTTGTTTCTTTAATAATGGTGCTGTTTTGCCACATTGATGGGCAACTTTTGAGATGTCTCCCTCTTTTACTGAAGCATTTCACTTGGCTAAGGAAAGGTATTGCTTTTGGACCAAGGAGTAAAGTGATGTGACGGTGATTGTCTGGTTCTTAAGTCTGTGATTGGAGCATAGTTTAGCTGACTCACATAGCTGACATTTTGACTCAGTACAACAAAAATAATCTGAAATCTATGTGGATTAGTAATGCGTGCCTCTTAGTAATTAGTTGCCTCTTATGAGATAGATGGCAGCTTGCACAGGGCCCCACTGGGGAGGCTTGCAGAGCAGTCTTAATCCTGAGAAAAATGAAGTGACACGGTGTCCTGTCTACTTTCCCACCTCCCTTTTAGTAAAGAAGGATGGAAATGGAAGTCCTTGGTAAAGATAGCTGCTGTTCTCATGGCCCTACAAGAAGAAAACATTTTTTGAGTACTGCTTCTCTAGAAACGGGCATTCCACAATTTTGTCTTAAAAAGCAAAGTTTATATCCCAGATATAAACCCACTTGATGTCCCCAAGCTTGGAGGTGATGAGCTCTGGATGGAGGCTTGGCAGCTCTCAAGAAAAACTTGGAATTCAGATGTACCCATTTCTCCCCCCATCCAGCCTCCTGTTGGTTGCTGAGCTAAGACCTGATTCACCAAAGGTCTGTTTATTTAGTGCAAACATTTCTGGATTTGTTTTTAGTAACCACAGCTGTTTCTGCTGGGGGATTTCCTGAACGATTACACTTCCCGTGTACCTAAGGAGCCGTATAACAGACAACGTTTAAACACGCTGCCACAGGACTAAGGTGGAGGTAGTAGATCAGAGAGAGTAGCCGGGGCGGGAGCATATCCACGCGGTCTTCGCCTCCCTGTGAACGCAGCTTGATGTGACTCTGGTCACAGATGTGACTCTGCCAGGGATTCTGCCACGTTCGAACCCCATGGTTACAAGTCGTTCTTCAGTTGCATAAACGTAGACACTCGGGGCGAGATGGCCTGGCCTGTGCTGTGGCCACCTCTTAGCTACAGCTCACTGTTTTCTCTCCGCTGCCTAAACTGAAGTGGAACAAAAATAGGTATGTCTTGGCTTCTTAAATACTCCCATCCTTTCAAGCACCTCTGCAGAGCCAGATATTGCTCTCTAGGAAAACAAAGCTCCTTAGGAATGATTTATTTGCATAGTACTGTTGTCATTATGGATAATGAATGTTAAGATTGTATTTACTTTGAAGAGCTCCCCCTCATGGTTAATTAGATCAAACAAAGTAAGGCCCAGTTACGTTACACTAAATTAGACCAATACACCCAACCTATAGGTGTACAAGTCCCTAAAGATGACATATATAGCCCACAAGAGAAATCTGCTTGCTTACTTCTCACGGTTCCTTTTCCATCCTTACTGCGGGCTCCTCCTTCATCAAATTTTGGGTTGTTGACCATGTTGTGCACTCCAAGAACAGCTAAAATGTGTAAATGCCAGCAACAGGATACAATGTTAATGGCAGGAACAAAGACTGCAGAAAAATATCTGCTACAAATTCTAGTTTAGTTCCCCAAACAAAACCCCCTTTATAAAATGTTAACTCTCTGAGTCATGCTTGCTTGTAGGGAGAGTCTTTAGGGGTCTAAATACTGGAGATACATACAGACATTTTTAATATAAGTTTTTGATCAACTGAATCAATGTAGTATGCATCTCACAGAAATGCCAGCTGGAAGGAGCCACTGGAAGGTCATCTTGTGCAGCCTCCCCCTTCAAGCAGGAGTGTTGCCAACATTAACCAGGTCAGCCATGGCTTTGTCTAGCTGGATCCTGAAAACAGCCAGGGATGGAAATCCCACAATCTCTTTGGGTAACTTGTTTCAGTGCTACACTCCTAATCATTTTTTTCCCCCTAATATACAGCCTGAGCCCCTTATTGCTCTTTGTTGTATTGTTTGGCATATCTGAGAAGAATTTGACTGTACATGTGGTTAGCTTAATAAATTGGCATTCACACTGGGGTTTCATATGGATGCTAACGTGCTTGGAAAAAACAATTAATATATTCTGGGACTTTAAAATAAATAGTGAGGATACGAACTATTATGAGAGAAATGACAAGAGAAACCAAAACTCCATAAAAGAAGCTGCAAAGTTACCTTTTGTGCAAATGAACTTCCATAGTGTCAGAGAATAAATTGTGCCGTGTTTGCTGATACTTCTCCCATAAACTATCTAATTGGTCTTTATTCTATAGGATCATGCAGTAATTAAAAGTTACTAACTTGATGTAGATTTTTACTTTTATCATCAGTTTTTTCTTATGGAAAAGACTCTGTTCTGTAAGCAAATGACTCTTTAGCTGCTGTTACAGACTATTCTCAGAACTCTGGGCAGTCGGTGTGCTACTCGCTGTTTTTCACGAGACTTCGATACCTACAAATTCTGTCGTGAATGGCTGGATACTGACCAGAGCTGAGCAAAACTTGGAACTTCAGACTTCCTGAGAAGTGCCAGCTGCATTATAATCCTGTGATTCCTGTGATACACCACATTTCGGTCAGAGCCAAGACTAATGCATCCAGAAATGGGTGGTGTAGCCAAGAATTACAGAAGATAATGGCAAGATCACATCCTTCAATAGGACAATATAGTAGCTACAAGAGTGTTGAGTTTAAAGTTGATCTAACCCAGATTCAGATTAATCTAATATGCTGAGATATTTCATTTACATTTTCCTACGGAAAACAAAAAAATTGTCATTACAGTTGCAATTCTCCCACCAAAATTTTTGTATAGACTAGGCCCAAAAAGGTAGACCCTGGACCTCAGAAAGCCCAGGGAAGGATAGGATCCACTCTGAACTGGGTGGACAAGGCAGGAGATGTCAATGGTTCCATAGGGAGGTCTCAACACTGGGTTGAGCAGGGTTTTAGGATGACCCATTGACATTAACCTCGCCAGCCCCGGCTGGTGTGCTTCTTCCCAAATTAGGCATTCAGATGGTGATCTTCTACTAGCATAAACATATGACACACCCACGACACAAACTGCTTGAAAGTCACAGGCGGCCCAAGAACTACAGGTTGGCCTTTGATAAACTGCAGGTTCAAATGTTACTTATGCAAGTGGATACACTTCAAAATTATCTCCTTTGTGCACAATCTAGAACATGAGGTTATACTCTGGATTAAAGGAGAAGAATTAAAAGTGGTGAAGATACCCAGGTCTAATCAGCTGGCAACCAATTTTCTGATTCAAGGGGTTAGATTCCAAATTTCCTCATGGATGCTGGATCTTTATCCATTGCATCCTCTAACAAGTTCATCCTGCCATTTGGGATGTCAGAGTTGAGAGGAGGCAGCAATAGTAGGCTACAAACAGTGCGGATGCAGTAAGATCAATGGTCTCCACTACAATGCGAACACCCCAGCCTGCAGTCTACCATCTACCCTTCCTTTCCCCAAATCATGTTAGCTGGTTCATCTTCTCCCCTTGGCTGCCACATCAATTATAAGTAGATGAGAGAAGTTTAAAATGCGGCAATTATCGAGTCACGCTTGAAGTCCTCCTGGGCAATGTGTGGCCCACAGGTTGGCCACCTGTCTGCGTAGTGAAACAGCAGGTACTTGAGAGATGATCATGAGACACTCCTGGTGGCAGGTCCAGGCAGAGAAGAACTGGATGTGTAGGGGGATCATACCTATGTATTATCTAACCTGCAAGGTCATAGAGCTCTGTATCCGAAGCGCTGGCCAGGGCTTCTTCTAGTTCCGGATCCAGGGTCACTTTCTCTTCTGTACGGGTTTCTATGGGCTTTTCTTTAGGGATAAATATTTTTCCTGAGAGAAGAAAAAAGCCAGAGTGAGTAATGAATTATTAGAACAACTCCTCTGCCTCCTGGCAGTGGGGGAATAGGTCTGTGACAGTGGAACTGCTTGGAAATATTATCCAAGTGCATGTTTACCTCTTTCTTACTTGATGCTATCCTCCACACCAGGATCTTAATAAGAGTCTAAAAGTAAAAAAGTGCAGACTTCTGCTCTGTGTTGGTGATTGTTAATGTGGAAGCAAATTTCCTAAAATAAATCCCCAGGAGCAGTCACAGCTGGGATTTTTCTGAAGTTCCTGTGGCCTTAAATAGGCAGAATCAGGTCTACGCAAAAAGCTTGCAGAAATGTCATCCTTATATTTAAATGAGGCACCAGAAGCGGTTAAAAACATCTTACTGCAAGAACGTTTCAGTTTACCAAATTCCATACAAGAGCCTGAAAGCTCAGCAAACCTGTTCTCTTCCGGTGACTCAGTTTAATTCCCAGCCTCTCCGTGAGTACTTCCCCTCTGGGTCTCCTGATGATCATTCGCAGAAATAGCCTTATCCCGATCATCTGTACAGGCCTGAAAAGTCTGAACGGAACTGAACCACGTGTTCCCCAAGAAAGACTCCTGACCTATATGTCTCTCTTTGTATACTGCTGTTGCACTGGGGTTAGCAGGTGTGTGTTTCCATGCGATATTCCCCCAAGACTGAGATCATCAGCCCTTCTGCCGAAATGAGAAAACGGTAGGATAAATCCAGAAACAACACAAGAAGTCAGACTACTCCTTTACCCTGCTATTACAGTTAACCTCGGTAGTGTGGTGATGTAACTGCCAATGCTTGGAGCGAGGCCCTTTAAATCAGAGCTAGGGCTGCACTCCAGTCACCAGCGCTGCTGGGGCTTTTCTCCCACTCAACACTTTCCTGCACCAAACCCATACAGTCGGTAATACATTAGATGATACCACGTGCAACAGACGGTGTCATTGCTCCGGTAATTCTGCTGTCCACTGCGGAGTAGTTCCCCTCACCTTGTCCCTGACAACTACTTCTCAAGCAGGCTTTAGTTAATCCCATTGTAATGAAGCTGTGATGACCCTTGGATGCAGGTGCCTTTGGCCCACTGTCAACTTTAAATTGTCTTTTGTGCAGCTTTGTACACTCTAGATGTAATGCTTGAAGCATATCCTGTGGCTTTCTGAAATGTCTCTAAAATAGTTTAGTTTTAACTGTATTAGTGGTATTATTTTGTTACCATTAATCGATGCAGTTCTGATATTTAGTGTTGAATTACAGACGCTTTGCCTCTGGTTTTTCAACACTGTCATCCTTTTCTGGCTTAATTTTTCCCCATTATGGTCCAAAGTATCATTTTCATGTAGATAATACCCAATTCATTCATCTCTTTCATACAAGTTTGTCTACAGCAATTTCTATACTGTCAGCTTCCATGACTGGGGTCATTGAATGAGTTCAGAAAAAAATTTTAATGGAAATTTCTGAAATTCTGGCAAGGTGTACTGACGCAGGATTCGAATTATTAACTTTAGAGATATTTATACCAAGGCTAAATAATTTCTGAGTACAAAACTGGACAGAAGATTATGTAGAAAGACAAAGTAGTATCATATGATTCATTTTTCATGCGATATTTTAAGTGAGTAATTTTTTAAGAAGAGGCTTCAAGAAGATAAAAGCCTTTGTGGGCCAAAGGTAAGAATCATTTTCACTTTCACCATGCACTGGGTGATATGAATCAGAGACGGCCATCCCAGCAGCATCAAACAAAAGTCACGTGGAAATCTGGGGTGAGAAATACTCTGTGAAGATAGATTAGTCACGCTCTCCAGATTTCATAACAGCACAAATGCTAGGATTTCAGACTCCCTCTGTACTACCACCTAATCTGAAGGGTGGCGTGGCAGCTTCCAGACACCACTGACCAAGACTTAACTTGATGTCAGCTTGACTGGTAAAGATAACACATAAGGAAAAAAATTCATGACTATGTTGGAAGCTCAAAGGCCAAAATCAATCAGAATATCCGAGTAAACAATCAATAGTGAGGAGTACCGTCTGTAAAATATTTTCCTTTCAGATCACTGGTGATTCCACATGAGTTTCAAGTAATCAGTAGGTCGTCTGAGATCTTGAGGGAATCCTATTATCTTTATCCTGACTGATAATACTAACCCCTATCAGCTATACTGCAGGGCCGTGGCTTGCATGAAACACCTCCATCAGGCAATAAGTGATTCTTCACAGACCCAAACCCCCGCCCGACTGTTAATAAATACTGACAGAAGTCTGTACTTTCACACATAACATTATAAAGGGACACAGGACCTCGAGCCTTGTGTAATGTGGACGTGATCCGTGTTACAGCTGGTCCTTCTCTATGGACGTTGGATGTGGGTAGGCCAAGTATCTTGTGTAGCAAGAAATCCAGGGGTAATGGAAACCAGTACAGGCTTATACTTTTTCCGTGCAGTTGACATATATAGGAATACAATTTTTAAGCATTTGTTTCAGGCATATGTAATTCTTGGATGGCAGCCCAAATCTTTTTAAATGTGTATATGACTCCCACTGATAGTTTCATTTAAAGCATTCTTGGCAAATGTTTTAGAAAAAAATTCTATTACTGGTTTTATGAAATATTTAAAGGGGCAAGGTCATGTCAAAGATGGTAATATATATCTTTAATATATGTGGGCCTTGCTGGCGTCCAGTGGCGTTTTAAAAATACTCTTTTTTCTGCTATCTAGATAAGGACATTCTTTTGCATTATCCCACTGTGTAGAGATGCTGTAGCATAGCAGACGGAGGTTAGAAGAGCTTATGCATTTAGCACGTTATTAGGAATCATTACCCATCCACCACCAGCAAAACTGTGTGTCTGTGTTTATAGATGGCTGTCAACCAGTTTTCCTTCACTATTTTAAGGACGGAGTTTAAAGATCCAGGAGGTCCCTCCTAGTCCCACATCCGTACATTCTAAAGTCATTATACAGTGCCATCATGGAATTCAGTGACAAAATAAAATATGGATTGTGGCTTGCTTGTTTCAATGGTCCAGCTTAAATTTAAAATTTATTATTTGGAAGAAACCTCGGAAGAATAGTGACGTTTTATTATTTTAAAGTGAGATTTATGAAGAAAGGCTGCTGCTCTTGGTGCTCTTTATATTCACACTGCACTTTAGAAGGTACTTTATTATAACATTCCATGTGGTATAATTAATGTTGGCTGTGTTACATTTTGCCTCCAGAATATACTAATGTTCTGCGCTAAATCTTAATAGTAATAGCTTATCTTCCTACCAGTGAAAAACACGATGACAAAAGTTATGTTTATGCACATCATACTTGAGCTACTTCAGTGTTAACAACACTAAGATAACCACATGTATGTACAAAACCAATATATTCTAGTGTTTAACTGCAAAACAAAATTCAGTTCCGGTAAAAAAAATAGTAAGCATTAAAATACCATTTTATTTTTACACATGCATAGAAACCCAAAATGTCTGGAATCCAAAGTGCTTTTTTTCAGCATGGAATTTTAAGCGTAAATCAATGCAATTCTCCCCTTCCTTCTGTCAAACTGGGGTAAGTGCCTGGGGTGACCTGGATGACGACTGAGGCAGCTTATTATAACCCAGGGGACTTTCTGGCTGGGAGTGCAGTGAGTAGAGATTTGTCCTGGCTCAGTCTAAGAGCAGACCTATTCCTTTTCACACACTGCAAAACTTCTATTCAAATTGAAATACGATATGGTTCGCGTTTGACTCAAAAGAGGCTCGGGGAAAAAATCCATTGAAAACCACAGAGAAGGATTCAGTAAAAAGGACTACAGAGAGACATAGAAATGCAGTGAGATAAAAGGAAGACAAATTCTATGAAAAAAAGCAATACACTGGGTACAGTCCTAAAACCATAGACGTAATTTTGCCACTTGGTTTCAGCCAGCTTTGATTTCCTGCATTATGCAAATGCCCCCATTAAAGCAATGTTGAAGTAAAGCAAGGAGATGAGATGTATCCCTCACTTCATCTCCTTATACAATAATAGTTAACTACATAACCACATATGCACATCTATAGGAAAATGTATTAATTGAGCAGGGAACTACTTCAAATGTATTTTCCTGAAGTAAGTTTATTTCTTTATTGTTATACAAGGGGAAAAAAAGGAATTTTAATGGCATAGTTGGTAGGATTTAGTAGTGTGTCCAATCTAAAAAACATTTTGAGGATTTCATCTTCATTTATAGTTTACATCATTTCTGGTATGTCTGCTCTCTGCCTTCCTTCTTATGTCATTAGACTTTTGTGAATAAATATAAACTGCCACCATTTTTATTTAGTATAAATACTTAGTATTTATTCCCACCTTGTACAAGCCAAAACTCAACAAAGCACAGAGCAATGGGAAACAAGCCCATTTATACTAGCTGTAAAAATGTCCTTTTATTTAAAATCAGTTTTATTAAGGATAGTTACTTAATTTTATAATACAAATGCACTTTCTGCCATAATTGTAAAACAATAACTTAGTTTTTTTTCCTATAAACTGTAGTTCAGATTATTGTACTTTCAAGAAAATATCTGGTTACGCTTATTACTTCTTACTTTTCCATGAATCACTGACTACAGCGAGTGCCTGTTTATTCTCAATTACAGAATACTACATTGACCGTAGAAGTGAAATTCAATAATCTCGGAAATCTGCCTTGCATAAATCACAGGCACCTGATTCACTTTTTCCATTTTGCACTATTCTTTTCTTTCGAAGCTTACTTAAAGTCCCCTATGGAGTTTTATGAAAATGGAGCTAAATTAGTTCTTACCAGGAATAAATTTGTATTATGAAGAAGAAAACAGGCCAGGTTCAAATAAGCGTGAAGCTGAAAGTCGGTAGTAATTAAAATGCAGTGTCATAATTGCTGCTGTACTGTTACTCTTGGATTAGTGTCTGCATATTCTATGCCTTAAAAATTATGACAATGTCATAGGAAGGT